TTAAATGTTAATGATCCCCGCAACGACGCGAGGGTACGAGAGACTTGAAACACTGGGGACAAATGAACTCCGCGGGCGTGTGTAAACGATGATCCAGCCACCAGCGAGTTGTAATAATACTGGCCTGGAAGATTTGCAATAATGCGCTTTTAACGCGCGGCCGGCACAGCGAGTATGCGGATATGGAAATCTTGGTTATCGCCGTCGAGGACAGAAGGGCAGCACCAGGCATTGAGGGACCAGGCATTGAGGCAAGGGATCGATGGACCTGGAAGAACTGACGGAGACGCGAGCCATACAAACATCGCAAGGAGCGGCAGGGAAAGAAGAGGGAAGCGACGAGAGTCTAGACTCGGCTGTCGCCGAGGGTTCAAACTGGAACAGTTCTTGTGCTTGTGTCGATCCGAACCGGGATACTGCGGGAGAACTGAGAAATCAATCAGCAAATTCATATCCACACACACCCACCTCACCTCGCAAAAGAGCAAAAAAGTCCTCGTGCAGTATGCAACTGGCTCCCAGCGATTGTTCGACTGCCGCCGCTACGAGAACGGTGGTTCGAGCCCACCCAAGGACATGGGTCGAATTCTGTATAGTGCCTTTTTTTCCTGCGGGGCGAAGCTCTGCAGATATTTGAAAGGTGCGGGAATAGATACTAATAAATACCATTAGCGTAGGGAACGCAGGGCAAGGACGACGCACCTGCGCAAAAATACCTACAATTATCTTTTCAACCTTCCCTGACACGACATGTTTGCAGTTGAACCAATGCAAGGAGGAAAAGTGTTCACCTACTCTGTCTTCGTGGAGTACGCAACTCACTCCTACCCTGTACTTGGGGAAAGATAGAGTTGGTGGTTCGAGCCCACCCGAAGGCATAGTAGATACCTCACTACGTTTTTTTCTCCGTCTGTGGCCTGGAAGGAAAGCGAAGGAAATTAAGGCGATGAATTTCGGGTATATAATTCAAGGCGATGGGAGGCGAGAGGACCGCGTCGTCTTGCAGATGTGCGTTCGTTGCCATCTGCAACTACACGAACTTTTCTCAAATCAATGTGAAGGCCGGAACAATTCAAACAAAATAAAAACAAAATACGAGCACCTGCTCTACCACCCAATTCCCAACCCCAACCCCAACGCCAGTCACCAGCCCCAGCATACCCACACCAACGCGCACCCGCCCCGCGCCCGACGCCGTCGTCCCCTTCCCTCCAGCCCCAGCCCCACCCGCACCCCCACCCGCGCTCGCACTCGCAGCAAACGCAAGCTCCGCGGCCGACACATTGCTCGCAATAGCGGGTATGCGCGTGAGCACGGCGTTGCTCTGGGTGAGGAAGGAGCTGTTCGTGCGCAGGGAGGCGAAGTCGTGGGTGACGGTGCCGTTGGAGGCGGCGAGGGCGGACATGGCGGTGGCGTTGTAGAATTTGAGCGGGGTGGGGCTGGGAGGGGATAAGTCCAGGGATGGACACGGATAGGGGGAAAAGGAGAGAGGGTGGGAACAGAGAAGGACAAGGACAAGGACAAGGAAGAAATGTCGGAGACAAAGACGAAAGGGAGGAAGGGGGGAAGGGGGGAGGGAGAAAAACGGAGGACGAGACTCACGCAAACAGGCTATCCATCTCGTCAGAAAACACGAGGAACGCGTCGTGCCAGTTTTCCGTGGCGTAGATCGGGATCGTAGCAGGCGGCGTGTTTTCTGTCAGGTTGCAGTACTGGTACGTCGTACCCTCCGTGTACGCCTATGCCACAAAAGGAATGAAAGGTATGTTCCTGGGAGTAAAGAGGATAGTTGACGCACCAGAATCGCATGCGCACCCAGCCTCTGCGCGTTGTCAATCAGCTCCGACGAGTTCCCCGCGGGACTGTTGGCGGTGCAGGGGAATATCGCGACCCACGGCGTGGACGACGCGGCCTGCGAGAAGTGCGTCTTGTTGAACTGCACCGCGACGGCCTCGATCACATATCCGCTCGTTGACTGTTCGTACAACAGTGATGAGCTTTTGGTATAGATGCATAGAAAGCGGACGCACGTTATCCGCCAGAGTGCTATTCCCGCCGTCCGTGAGCATGAATATACGGGTGTCCACGGCGTTATGGTCCCCGCTGTCGTTGGAGGCGTGCCAGTTGAACACGATGTGGCCCCCAGAGCTATCCGGCGGTGCCTGCGTCTCCCGGTTGAAGTTCCTAACGGTGCGCGTCAGTTTTGCTGCTTGATGTGGGTTGGAAAGGACTCGCACTGCATCAGTAGGGACCAAGGACGCTGCGTCGACGCCCAGCGGACCGAGAATCCCTTGGCCGGCAAGGATGAAAAACAGTGTGAGCGCGCGGAACATGCTCGGGGTGAAAAAGAACGAAATCGGAGGGGATTGAAGGATGTTCCAAGGGGAAAACGGCTCACTGTCTGTAGTATCCCGGAGACTGTCTTATACTGTCAAGGTTCGACATTGCCATGGCAATGTACGTTGATCGCGTTCCCGCTCGCGTTTCGCCGAGCTACGAGGGCGGTCTAGCATGCTTGCCATGCTTACCGGCCGGAGAGCCCGACGCCGGATAGCGACTGCACAGTGAGGCGGGGTGGCCGAGTTGGTGGCGGGAACAAAGATGGTATCAGTGGCTATAAGTACCGCTTTGGTTGAATCTGACCCTGTTTGGCTTGGGCGTGGACATGTGATCTTGTCGCGTCGCGTCGACGCGACAATTTTTGGTTTTCACCGGGCACGCGATCTGGCTGGCATGGGACGCCAAGAAGAAAACGAGCCGTCCTGAGATTTTTCTGGGGAGGCTTGAGACGAGGGTGTAGCTCGGTAATTTGCCTGAGCCTGGTGCCACTTGGGGCACAAGTGTCAAGAAATGAATGGCAGCGCATGGTCGAAATTGTGGGCAGGCAGAAAGAAACTAAGGAGCGCACTAAACGGTGTATGTTTCTTTGTCGGAATGTCACTGCTGCTACGCTCAGAAATTGCCAGGCCGATTGAGATTCGAGAGTCTCATCTGAAATATCAAATAATTCCATGAGTTCAAAGCCGCGCTCCAGCTCCATACACTGATGCCTCTCTATGTGGTACCGGTGGTAAAGACGGAATTGTCTGGGATTCCAGAACAGTCGCATCGTGTCCAAAAAGCCAGTCCCTGCGATCGGTAAAGCCCCAGAATATCGGGTTGTCGGAATTATCGTGCTTCATCAACTCGGCTCTGGGGAACCATGTCAGCAAAGCCATTCCATATGAGAACCTGGACTCACCGTCTTTCCTGTTCAGATCCATCGTACAGATGCAACCACTCCTGCAACACACGCGTGTTCTGCGCAACATACGCGGCGCGCGGCTTGCGTTGTGCTGCATACACGTTCAAGGCAGTGGGGATGTCCTCATGCGCACGCAACGCAGCCGCAAGCGTTGCCGCGTCCTCTGTCGCCTGCGCCGCCCCCTGCGCCATATACGGCATCATCGGATGGCACGCATCCCCGAGCAGCGCGACGCGCCCCGCCGGATGCACCCACCGCTCCAGCTCCTTAAAATCAGCCAGTCGCCACTTCAAACACGTCCCCGCCAGCGCACACAATTTTCTCACCGCGGGGCACCAATCGGCGAACCGCACCGCGAGATGCTTTCCCGTGTCCGCCTCGCTGCGCCACTCGTCCAGCTCGAGCGGCGTGCCACGGTCAGTGCGGTGCGTCACGTCGATGATCACGTTGTACAGGCGCCCGCCGCGGAGCGGGTACCCCACCGCGTGGCCCTCGGGTCCCATCCAGTGCACCGCCCACGGCTCCGTGACGAGGTGGCGCATTTCTGGGTCGGCGAGGAGCGGGGCGGCGGGGACGAGGATGCGGTATGCGACGTCGCCTGTGTCCGCGGGGTCGACGGCGCGCCCGTTCACTGCGCTGCGCACGGCGGATTTGATCCCGTCTGCGCAGACGACGAGGTCCCCCGCGACGCGCTCGCCTGCTGCTGTCATGACCACGGGTGCGGCGAAGTCGTAGGAGGCCACGTGCGTGTCCATGCGGAGGGTAATGTTGGGATTGCGGTGCACGGCGGCGACGAGCGCGGAGATAAGGTCTGCGCGGTGGATGAAGTAGTATGGGGCGCCGTAGCGCGCGCCGACGTCGGAGAAGGGACACTCGAGGAGCGGGGTGCCGTGCCAGTCTACGAAGCGGTTCCCGCGCGAGATTTCTTTGGGCACGGAGTCGAGATCGACGCCCCAGGCGAGGCTGAGACGCGATGAGTTGGGCGGGACGCGGATGCCTGCCCCTACCTGGCATGCCAAGCTTATGAGTGATGCTTTTGGGGAACGAGAACTGTAGTGCGCACCTCCAGGAACTCCTTGACCGACTCTAGGACGGTTACCTTGTGGCCATCCGTTGCAAGTGCGAGAGCAGTCTGCAGCCCTCCGATGCCCGCGCCCACGACTACGACATTAAGGTCTTTCATGCTGAAGATTAAGAGGACTCAGAATCGGCGGGAGTCCGTCGGAGAGAAGGTGGCATTCTGTGAGAATGCCTTCGCGGCGTGCGTCATACACGGTGTTCGTATTCTTCGCTCTTTGATTGGCGTCGTGGGTTATTTTTAACCACTTGTGAAGTGGTTAAAGTGGGATATAATTAGCAGTTTTATGTATCGTCCAAGCGTTGGCTGTTTGCACAGAAATGGTACGTTTGATAACGCAATGCAATGTTTGAGCAACCTGTGATTGAAAGCCTGGCGAAGTTGGGAACGTATAAGAACGCCGGACGCGCCTAGAAATGTGCATGCTCTGAGACGCTCATGGGATGGTGATTCAACTTCCACAGAACCGTCTCTTCCTGGCATGCTTGAGTTTGATCTATGAACCGAATGTTCAAAGTGGTGCAGGACGCTCAAAGACCCAGAGAAGTCATGCAGTGGGAACGAGAGGAAACAAATGGTGATGATGGAAGCAGATGGAAGTCGAGAGCAAAAGTAACGAAGAGCTGCGCTAACTAGACGTTCGGCGTACCCAGCGTAAAGATTGCGATCGTCACCATCGGCCGAGTGGCAAAATGGTTACTGCGTTGCTTTCCGACCAGTTCAGGATTCCAACGCGTTGTGAGGCAGAGACTGTGGGTTCGAGTCCCACCTTGGTCGTTCTTTTGTCTCATCCTACACCTTTTTTTGTGCCTCCAGACGGAACCCTTGCAGGACATAAGAATGGCAAAAATGCACCAAGTCGAAAGGGGGAATGGACTTGTGATTTTTTTAAAAAGCTGGGCCTGACTTTGGTTGCCGGGTTTAAGCCTTATAAGCTTACCTGGTGTGTGAAGGACAAGAATTGTTGAGGTGCAGTCGTTGAAGTGCGACTGTGATCCCACCCTGCTGAACGTCTTTTTTCCGAGTCGGCCGGAAACCAAGTTTTTTGGGACGAGTTCTCAATTTTGTTATTCTTTTCGGGGAAGTCTTGAGTTCGATTCCTGAAGGAGGCACTTTCTGCACCGGCTGGGTTTGTGTCGAGTACAGACCATTGAAGAGATAAAATGTATCAGACGCAATCGCCGATTAAATTCCAGCTCGACATGCTTTCACCAAGAGGAAGATGTCGTTCCCGTTACATACTTTCCGAATCGGCTGCAAGTACCCATTGATGTACTGGGTCTGTTGATTTTCAATGAGATTGAAGTTTACTTGTTATCTAATATATCGGCACAGCGGTATCTCTGCAGGCGTTGCTCATTACGCACCTTGCCCATTTTTCTGGCTTCTCAGCCTTCGGAGCACAAGCGCAGACTAGATACACCGGGAAACCGTGGAGCGCATATTGTAAAGCCAATTGTCTGGGCGGGTTGTTAGATCAAGGTGTTGATTACGGTACTCAACAAGAGCGCGCCGGGGAGCAATGCGAGGACCGATTTTCGCCTGGGTTGAATTCTCGGTTGATTCTCGGGGCGACCAACGGCGATAGCCGTCCCATCAAGTTACGGCATTTCACACCTTTTCATCTCCCGTCATGCAGTTACCGCAAGAGCTCATCGAGGCCATCGTGGAACAGGTGGAGGGCAAGGATTGCCTGCAATCTTGCTCCCTGACTGCACGCGTCTTCCTAAATGCCAGCCAGCGGTGCTTGTTCCGGTCCATGTCTCTTCGCTGGGACATTGCATCTCGAAACACTGCCGCCTTTGACCGAGCACTGGACTTCATAAATCAGCTTCCACACCTTGTTCCCTATGTCCGAGAGGTTACTCTCGATATTCCGACCCAATGTAGGGACCAAAAAACACTGGAGAATATTCTTCGGCTGCTGGGCGACATCGAGCACTTGACGATCCACGGCCATTGCAAGGACTGGTGCCGGGTTATTCCTCCTCTAGCCTCTACCATATCTAGTGTCATATCTCGACCCTCACTTCAACGGCTCAACCTCTTCAGCATCTGGCATATTCCCCCTGCACTGGTGTTCCACGCGGTCTCGTCTGTCCGAGTTCTGTCGCTGTATGCCGTCAGCGCAGACCCCGGACAAGTTGTTCCGTCGGATATCGGTGCGAATACCCACCTAGAGGGTCTTATTTTGCCCTCGTGTGTCGTGGTTCAGGCCCTGCTTCGATCCTACAAATTCCTTTTGGCAGCACGAAATCTTCGGCATCTTGCGGTGTACGTCCATGAGACGGGACACCATCGTGCATTAACAGCTGCGTCGTCCTTGCATTTGCGAGATCTGGAGCTCGAATGTGGAGGTGGGATTGGGATTTTCCCTCCGCTCCCAGATCGCTGATTCTTATTATTAGCATTTTCGATCCCACTGGATCTCCCGCACCTACCAGCGCTCCGCTCTCTCTCGCTCAGTTTTATGGTATCAGAATCCGCGCCGGGAGTCTGGACTCTCCCAGAAATGCTGCGCCCCACCATCACCACACTTCCCACCGCCGTCCCTGTACTCGACAAGCTGACATTCACCGTGCTTTTCCTGCACCGACAGACCGACATGCCCTGGCAGGACCGTTCGGCCTTACCCTACTTCGAATCCTCTTCATCCTCCAACTATCGGCAGCAATTCCCGCACCTGCGCAGAATCTGCTGCAGTCTTGCGGATCCATCCGCTCCTCTCAGCGGCCACTTCGAGCGCGCCTTTGTGGGCTTCGCTGCGTATATGGAGTCTAAGCTGTATGCTGCATACGCTGATGGGATCGTGACCGTGCGGCGAGGGATTCAGACGTCGCGGTTCAACTCTTTTGATCATTTGCGATGACGTGTGTGAGCGGTTCATTTCTGCTTGTCCCTTGGTGTCTGATAGTAGTCCAGTGTCTAGCATATTAATCGACAACATCATGTACTTAGTATGGGATACAGACAGAGCAATTAATCGGACGAGCATGGCTAGCTTTGTATGGTTCAGTCAGTCGCTGCTAGGGCGGGGTTCAATTCGCAGTGTCCGAATTCTCAGGAGCCTTTGATTGTCTTGCTTGTTTTTTCCCGTCACGTCCAACCCTCTAGCCTCTAAATAAAATTCCCATCACGGTCAGTTTATGTTCATGGTCAAGCTTGTCCTTTCTATTGACCATGACCTACCAAGGCACCAATAAAACGTCCCCCCGCCGTATCCTGTGTCGAGGAAGAGGCAAGGAAGGATTATCCCGGGCCGTTCGACATTCCATTTTGTGTCATCATCCCGCTCTTCCCGCTCTCTATTGCCCGTGAGCTAACTTGGCTTCAACTTGGGGCATTCGACTTAGTCTGATGGATACTAATAGGCGCGACTCGGACGGCGTGTACGGCACCCCTCGGGTGGACTTACAGAAGCTTTTCGGAGTGATTTGGATGGGGGCTAGGCTAATTCGCCGCGTCCGCCGCTTTGGCGCCGCGGCGCGCCGCGTCACTTCGTAGCACCGCCGCACCCCAACACCACATCGCCGCGTCGCCGCGTGTGCTCGCCGCGCCGACTTTTACCGTCGCCGCACACTGCCGCGGCACTTTCCTCACCACCACCCCCTTAGATTGACGCCGTGCCCTCGCCGTGCACAACTTATTTCAACCATTGTTCAAGAAAATGCGCGGCTGCCCGAGGCTGGTATTAGCAGTCTGCTACTTATGTAAATAGACCTTCGTGTTCGTGTGGATTAATCTCAGTTGCTCACAATGCCGTGTCTGCTGTATACGCCAGTTTCCAATCCAGCGTTAGTCAACCAGCTGAGCACCTGTAAACAAATTGGCGACCCTCCTTGTCTCTGTGAGTAATAACTTCCCACGGTTCGATCTGCTCAACGCCGTTGCTGCCTTGAGGTTGCTGTCGATGGATCATGTCTGAAGATGAATCTTCTGATATATACTCTGATAGAGTTATGGCTCAAGGGAATATCGCGCACACACACAGTGCGGCGCAGCGGATGTAAGTACTGTAAGTACTTGTAGGTAGGCAACCGACCTCCAGACCGTGACATTCAAAACAGGTTTGGGCAACGCAACCGGCGGCACTTTGTCCGTGACGGTTGAAAATTGGGCAACCAAAAATATTCAACCACTGACTGGAAGGTCAATTTCTCAGCACAATTGAGGCCTCAACGCCTCATTAATGAACCATTGCGTGAATTTCACTGTTTCTGCCAATTTTCGAACCGTTTTGGAGCCATTTCTAGGGAGGAAAATATTTATTTTGCTATGTCACGGTCTGAGGCAAGGCAACCAAGGTCTCCGTTACCGTGACCGAGGGCGTTTTGGGCAACGCAACCGACCTCTCCGTTACCGTGACGGTTGCCTACCTACAAGTACTTACAGTATTAGAACATTGCACTGTCATCCCAACATATAGCTTCCTCGACACCACTCTCACTTTATAAGCTGAAACCTCGATCCGTCTGGGGATCGGCTTCCTTTGCTTGACAAGGGTATGAGATGCATAGGACGTGCTCCGTGACGCAGCAAAGTACGTCGCGACACCACCTCATCAGAACCATTGGAGAAGCAGTCAGCGGAGAATCCTCCACGACAGGAAATTAGGCGGCTTCATGTTTACTTGATTCCGACTACTGGGATTAACTTGAAAGCAAGGCGAAGGGTATGTTCATCGAAAACAGCAACCGGTCAAGTCAAGTAATTGTGGCAGACACGGCGACGCTTCTAAACTATCTCAAAGGCCAACAGTTGGTCTCGACCAACTCACTGTGCATTGGCTCGGTAAGTGGCCGCTGTACAGCGAAATATCTTGTACAATAGATGGACGCGGCGAAGTGTCTCTGCTCGCCTTTGATCTTTGAGCAAACACTCGGGGTGTCTCAAATCCAGTTGAGTGTTTCCCCACTTTCGTTTGCCAGGAACCGTTTCTTGAGAGTAACACAGCTATCCCGCAGACGCAGGAAGCAAGCAGAAAAAATGCGGCGGTGCACAGTAGGTGTAGTCTTCCCCTCTGCATAGGCAGCATAGCTCCGGCTCCGAGTTTGTGTGGGTTTGGGTGCAACCACCGCGCAGAGCTTCGAAGCGTCAGATGCTTTGGTTCAACTAGCCAAGTACGGAATTTCCATAATAGTGGGACGCTGAGGGACTCCGTCACATGGTTGAGCGAGATACTTGCAAAGACGATGGAGTGAGTTGGGTTAGTGGTTCCTTTGGTGATTTCAATTAGATCGTGATTCACGAGGAGTCTGAAGGGCAAATTTTGCCGATGCAAGGAGCACAGACTTCTTGTACGCACAGGTAAAGCCTATTAAGAGCCGTTGGACCTTTGCAACCGTCTTGATAATTAGAGAGTAGGCGCAGTGGTTCTTCGGAAATTGCCTATTCGGTCGGTTCAGCCAGATGTGAGGAGCCTGTTGAGCTTAAATTGTGCAGCTGCGAGTATCGCACCTAGCGCATCCCTGCCAACTGTTTGAGAAATTATTTGACTCTGGAAAATCGGTCCAGTGGTTCTGCTCAAATTCTCTATTCGGTCGATGACAAGCATTACAACGGAGATGATGAATGGAAATTTGGGTCCGGGTATTTTGGGTGGAAACAATGTATGATGGTTGCAAAGCAATTTCCCAACTAAAATTGGGATGCCTAGAGGGTTTGTTGAGAGGCAATGACCGACGCGGTGATTTAGTGCATGACACACTTCGCCGCGTCGCGCTGCGCTTCTCCTGTACCCGATACAACGCCGGACAGGAGCCAATATACGATTCAAC